ACACAGATGACACTCAAATGGGGTGATCAGAGGAGAGTGTCAGAACGAGGGTGTCGGGAAGCCCAAGGCACAGCCCAGCACCCCCGACTAGAAACAGTGGGGCACTGTAACTGCCCCTAGGCCTGCAAGGGTGCGGGGAAGCAGCGGTTACCAAAACCGGAGCAGAGGGGGCCTGGAGACCGCACCTCTCAGGGGTGACCACAGGAGAGAGCTGCAGGAGGCGGTGCCCTAGCCTCGCTGTCTTCCCTTCCCCCGTCTCTGGCCCGGGCTCCCCATCATTCTGAGCTGACCAGGAGCCAGACGGAAGGGAGCCCACTGACCTAGGCCCCGTAGTGCAGCCCCCAGTTCATGGCACAGGGTGGAGAAAGATGGATCTGGAATCCAACACAGCCCCTTAGCACGGTGCCTGGCACAGAAGGGGTGTCCACTCATTCTTCTAGTATGCTCATTTTAAATGACGAAACATTTATACATGGAGAATACCCATTGTACCTCCCACCCATGCTTAACAGAAGTTAACATTTTGCCATACTTTCTTCATATTTTCTTAATTAATTACAGATAGAGCAGAAGTCCCTCTCACCCCATCCTTTCCCTTTCTTCCCTATGGAGGTGTCTACTGTCCTGATACAGTTTGTGTTATCCTGTGTAAATTTTTGTGTTTTACTACAGGTACACCTATATACAAACATATATACCATTTTCGGGTATGTTTTTAAAATTTTACATAAATGGCATCATGCCATCCACATAAACATTCTTTTGCCACTTGCTCTTCCAACTTAGCATATGCTTCTGTGATTTTATCCGTACTGGTACCTGTGGATCCAGTTTCTTCATTTTTTCCTGCTCTGTAAAATTTGTTGAATGAATAGACCGCAGCTCACTTACCCATTTCCCTAGCGAGGGGCACGCAGGCTGTTTCCACATTGAACATCATGGTAAACGTGTCCCCTTGGGCACGTATGCAAGAGTTTCCCGAGGGCAGACACCCAGAATTGGAATCCCAGGGTCACGGTGATGCCATGAAGGCATGGCATCTTCACCTTTACTCAGCATTGCTAATTGCTTTCCAAGTATTTGACACTCAGATGAGCCCCAAACTAGCATTCCTGTCTCTCCACACCTAGCCAACACTTGATATTGTCACGCTAATTATTTTTTTACAGTCTAATGAGGTGAAAATGTACCTCGTTTTTAGTATAATTTGCATTCCCATTATTACGAGTGAGGTTAAGGCATCTTTCCCTATAGTTATTGGTTATTGGGGTCATTTCCTCTTTTGTGAATTTCCCCATTTGTCTCCTTTGCCAGTTATCTGGGGGTGTGGGTTTGTCTCTTTCTTACTGGTATTTGAGGTTCTCTATAAATCTGAACATGAACCCTTTGCTGGTGGTGTGGGTGACCTTATACCTTCTCCCAGACTACAACTTGACTTTTAACATTGCTTTTGCTGTCTTTTATTTATTTGTTTGTTTGTTTGGGTGCAGAAATGTTTAATTTTAAATGTAGTCAAATTTATTCATTTCTTTTCCTTTAGGGTTTATGCCTTTTGTTTCTTTCCTTTCCCCAAGGTCATAAGGACTGTCTTTTTTTTCCCAGTAGTTTTGCAGTTTTGCTTTTCACATTTATGGCATTAATCCACTTGTATAATATAAGGTAGGAGGACTCTAATTTCATCTTTTTCCACGTGGAACCCAGTGGTTCTAGCCCCACATACTGAAAAGAGCCTCCCTACCCTCTGAATTGCAATGCCGCCACCACCATGAAGCAAGTCCAGGTTTTCACTTCTGATTCACTGAACAGTTCTCTGCCCATGCCCCAACTCCAGACTGTTTGAATTACTATTGTTTTGTGTTCTGGTCTGATATCGGGTAGGGCAAGTCCTGTACTATCCTTAGGATTTGTCTTGGCTACTTTGTCCCTTTATTCTTCCATCAGGATTGTGAGATCAGCTGAAATGACCAGGTATGGCAGGGATAGAGCACCATGCCCCTGACAGTTTCAAGCAAGGAAATGACATGGTCAGCTTTCCATTTACCGAACGCTCATGAATCTGTATGGTGGTTGGATTTGAGAAGATTAGACTGGTTGCAGGGAGAAGATAAAGTGTGGGGACCCAGACCAGTCGGTGACAAGAGAGATGGGCAGGGAGGGGGTGTACAAAACCTAGGGGCCTTGGCGATCGTGTACAGCAAGTGAGAAGGGCAAAGCCAGTCACCGTCTGGAAGAAGCCAAGACGACCCCTCCTTCCAGGCCAGGTGACTGAGTGGCCAGCAGGGCCTCCAGCCAAGGCTGGAGATACAGGAGGAGGGTCCAGGTTCAACCCTGGCTGAACCTGTGGTATCTTAGGAAAGTTCAGAGATGTCATGCCAACGGGTGGATTTGTAGGTCTCAGGCTCAGAAAAGAGGAAGGCAGTAGAGACTTGCGTCATCAGCCGATCTGCTGAGTTAAAATCAAATCAAAACCAGGAGCCAAAGAGGGAGGCCTGTGTAGACAACGCCAGCTGCTGGAGGATAAGGAGCCCGTGGAGGAGGCAGAGTGACGGCCATTGAAGACGCACAGGGAGAAGCAGGAGCGCGTGACGTCACAGACGCCCAGGAGGTAGAGCCTCGCGACGGGCGATCGCTAGCGTCAGACACCAAGGGTGCCGGTGAGGAGGCCGGTGAGCGTTCAACGATCAGGCCAAAGGGGGGTCAGTGGGAATGTCATGAGGAATGAAAGCCGGATTCAGCGACTTGAGGAGTGAGCGACGGGGCGGCAACGGAGTAAGGAGCAGCAGGCCTCTGTCTGAGGAAGCGTGGCTGGCCGGGGGGAGAGCCGGGGCCGCGAGACCTTTTCACGGATGAGAGACTAGAGTGTGCGCACAGGCTGGGGAAGGGGCCTGAGTGGCGAGAAGGGGAACGTTGGGGTGGGGGTGACTTCTCAGAGGGAACAGTAGGGCTGGGAGGTGGTCCCGGCTCCCCAGGCCCGGCTGGCAGGGAGGCTGGCGTGGATGGAGGTGCATGTGGCAATTGCAGAGCCAGATGCGAGGAAGATCAGACTTGACAAGCACGGATTTCTCATGGCAGGAGACGGGCGTCCTTTGCAGGGGAGGGCGTCTAAGAGTTGTGCAGGGGGCGGAAGGAGGGAGGATACTCCTGGGCAGTAGCTGTTGAACGGAACAGCGGAGACCTAGTAAGGGTGTGGCGGCGGGAACTTGGGGAAGTGAAGGAGAAGGTGTCGGGGGCGGGGGGTGCAGCGTGGAGCGGGTGCAGGGGGTGGGATGGCAGCTGGGAGCAGGAGTTCAGAGCTGAAGATGATGTGAGTTCCTTGCCTTGTGAACCCTCCGAAGTGCCAGAGGGGAGCCAGACTTTCTGCAGTGTACACGCTGGGGACAGGGGTCATTGTTTTGGACACTAAGATAAGAATGAACCAAGCATGCTGGAGGACATGGGAACCCTTAGGTCACTTGTGGATCTGCAGCATCTTGTGGCGGAGGATCTGGAGTCCTGGATGGACCTCGGGCCTCATAGGCCCTCCAGGACGTTCGCCAGCACGGCCAGGCAGCAGCCCCTTGGTTTGCAGGGTGTTTGATGTGCTCCGCAGGAAGTGGCCCAGCCCCTTTGTGGAAACGCTGACCCCCACTTCCGGTGTCTGGCCCAGGTAGCTAAGGCTAAGTTGGCATCTGGGGTCACGTCCCTTTGAGACAGACTGGGACCTGGGGCCCTTTGCTGCAGGGCTTGCACCTGGACAAACATCTCCTCCAGCAACAGATACAGAGAAACTATAAGGGACTAAAAATAACTGCGGGCATGGGCAGTTGGGGCAAATTATGAACAATAAGATACAAAAAGGCCAATACCCAACTGCCACTTCTGAGCAGGGTACTACACGTGATCCCTGCACACAGCACCCCCAAGGGGTGGGCACACCACCTAAGCCACCCCGCCAGCCTGACCCACCCATCCACCCCTGCCCTGACCCCATGAAAGGAAACAGCTCGCCCCACTTCAGGGAGTGAGCAAGGGAACCTGTTACTTGTTTTCGCTCCCCTGTGAGCATGAGTCCGAATAAAGCCTTGCCTGAATTCCTCGTCTGACCTCTTAGCAGTTTCTGTTGATTAGAGTCCAAGAACCCGTCTTCGTAACACCTGAAACACCTCCCTTCCCAAGCCACAGAAACTAGAGTACCACAGTGGTCCAGACCAAACCCCACAAAATATAGCTGTGGACATGGCCAGCAGGAAGGATTCTGCCTCCATCTCTGCATGTGCGGCTCAGTGGGGTTTGTGGCCCCGACCCCCTGGCTCTGATGACCTCCTGTTGGCCCCATGACTGGGGCTGAGGAGGACAAGGTAATATTATCATAATAAAACCAGAGTGAACGCTAACTCTGCACACATTACTTCATGACCCCTCCCAACCACCTGCCAGGTGAGTGACTTATTCCCACCTTTCAGATGAGGAAACTGAGGCTCCGGGAATAAGTAACCCATCCAAGGTCACCCAGGCAATAGCTGAGAGGCCAGGGATCTGAACCCCTGCCTACCTAGCTGTGCTTCCTCTCATTAAATCCGCTGCTCCCCAATAAGCCCTCCACACATCCCTTTTTGTCGGATGTGTGGTTGAGAACAGAAAGTGGCCGTGGAAAGGCACAGGGTAAGGGCCCTGGACCTGGACTCAGAAGTCACGCTGTTAGGGCTCAGCTCTGCCACCCGAAGAGTCTCACCACAGGGAAACAGGCCAGGGTGCTGATCCCCGCATCCAACCCTACGTCTGTCCACGGCACTCTCCCCCGTATGAGCAGCAGGGCTGCCCGGTCAGGGGGCCACCACGCAGAGCAGGGTTGTCAGCCTGGAGGCAGGGAGGGAGGGGTCAGGGTCTTGCGAGTGGAAGCCCACGGGACTTGGGAGAACCTTGCCCCCCATGACAGCCAGGCCAGGTGCCTTCCCCCAAACCCGGCCCCCGTCCCCTGAGCCTCCGCAGCGCCACCATCACTCTCTCTGCTCTGTTCACAGCCCCCGCCGGTGGCTCCAGTTCTGCGCGGTT